AGACGGCCAAGTGCAGATTCCCGCCTGCTTGCCAGGTCAGTAAAAAACTCTTACTTTGTCTGGTGTTTAGCGATTCATGCTTACAATCAGTCCAAAGCTGGGACAATGTGCAGGGAGGGGAGTGAGGATAATGGTACCAGTGAGGGAGTACAGGGAAGTCTATCCAGAAAGGCAAAAATAAGGTGAAATTGAACAGTGAAGATGTAGGAAAGAGAGACCAGGGTAACAGAGGGTGTCACGATCTCCTTGCATTTCTCCACAGTGTGTGGGAAGCCGGTCAATCCCATTTCTGAAATCCAGCGGATCTTGGGCGGCAAGTCAGCAAGGAGAGGCAGCTTCCCTTGGCAGGCTCTAACCGGCATCCATGGACGAGGGGGTGGTGCGCTCCTGAGCGATCGCTGGATCCTGACCGCTGCCCACACCATCTTCCCCAAAGGGGCAGGAGGGAACAATGTAAGCCTGGAGGAGCTAGCAGAAGAGGCTAAAGTTTTCCTTGGCCACACCAAGGTAGAAGAGCTCCACAAGATGGGTAACCACCCTGTACGTAGGATCTTTATCCATCCAGATTACAACCCTGAAGATGAACACAACTTCAATGGAGACATAGCCCTGCTGGAGCTGAAATACCCAGTAACCCTGGGCCCTACAGTACTGCCCATCTGTCTCCCAGATATTACCAACACCACGTTCTACATGGATGGGCACATGGGCTACGTGAGCGGCTTTGGTGTGGAAAAAAACTTCATTTCAAATAATTTGAAGTATGTGAGCCTACCAGCAGTTGCTCGAGAGAAGTGTCAGAGTTGGCTGGACAGTAAGAGGGGAGATATACCTATGGTTTTCTCCCAGAACATGTTCTGTGCTGGCTTCCTCACAGTCAAACAGGATACCTGCCAGGGGGATAGTGGGAGCATCTTCACGGTGTTGGACAGAGAAAGCGGTCGCTGGGTGGCTACAGGTATTGTTTCTTGGGGTATCGGTTGTGCCGAAGGTTATGGCTTCTACACCAAGATCCTCAACTATTTGGACTGGATCAAAGGGATAGTAAGGGAGGATAGGCTCTAAATGTTGCTGTCTTACTAGCTGAAGAATCACTGGTAGCATATAAATTTCCGAACACAGCAAATCATATCTAAAGCTTCTGATGATGTCCTAAAGGCTTTTCAAACACACAGACCATGTAAACTTCATCATGAGCACTTCTAAAAGCCACCATTCTGTTTGATGAATTCTTGGTGATACCATCAAAACTTACAAAGTTCCTGTACCATTGGCAGCTTGTGGGATGCCTCTGTGGATGTTCAAGTTCTTCCAAACCTTATTACTAGATGAAGCCTTAATAATATCAGGAAATCTCGTGACAGCAAACATGTTATTGTTTGAGGTGCTGACGATATCATCAGACTACTGCAGTCTACTTTCGTACTCTACTGAGCGGGAAGGTTGCAGGGCAGCAGACTTTCTTGAAGGTTGTGGTGCTTTGTGCTGAATACATTGTGCATATGCCCATTAGCATCAGTGAGATTCTATGAGTATTAAAATCATTGCTGGAGAAACCAGGTGTGTTATGTTTTTCTGTCTTTGTTTTTCACAACTACTAAATATTCCCCATCACTGAAAGCAACTTACAGACTTTATATAAGGATTGCTTTATCTACCATTGAAGTGTTTCCAGTTCTGCAACAGCATGTGGCAGTTGCTCACCTGTCACAGTAAGTACACAGTAGCAATTAAGACTACCCAGTCTGAAACTCCAGGTGGCTTCAAGGGAAGCAAAAATAAGTTGTCTGTGTGATGCCATATTCAAAAGACAGGGAAGACAACAACCGATCTCATGGAGAAAAGAGCCCAGGAACCTTCACTGATCAGAATTTGAGTATGGATTTTTTTAATACTATATGAAATAAAGCTCTGCCTGCAGGACAGCAGCTCTGAAATGATGCTGACTCAGAGAGAAGATGGCTCCTCTTGTGTTGTGGTTATTCTCTGGGGTTGTCTCTTGACTAGTTTTGCTACTGCAGAACAACCTACCTTCTTCTTCACTGAGAGAACTGAAGTCTGCAAGAGCTTGACAGGGGAACTCTGAGAGTAAGGTCATAGATAACTTCTTGTGCTGTTTTCTGTGAGATCCAGCTCCAGATCTTCTCAGGTGTCAGTATCTCTCTTTTGCTTTTGAGATAATATACCTTGGGGAGTGAAACTGCATATCTGTGAAACTGCACATCTGATAAAAGTTCATCCATGATCTCCAGGGGTCAGAATTCTGTTGATTTTTCCCTTGTGTATGGGCAAGAGGGGAGCATGAGAAGCACCAAAAGCATGGAAAAACAAGGTGTCCAGTTGTACAAGAGCAATGGATAAATCCTGGTCTGGGGTAGGGAAGGGAGAATGGGGCATAGGCAACTGGGGGATATTCCAGGTGAGGAACAGGGAATTCCTGGGATGCTCAGTGAATACATGTGACAAGAACAGCAAAATACCCAACTCCAGTCCTTGTAAAAATTGGGAACAAATATTTAGAAGCCATCTTAAAGGATCTCCTGCGTTGCAGACTAAGAAACTTTGGGAAGCTGAGGCGTGGAGAATAGATCATTTGCCCCAAATCCCTGTAGGAATCTGTGACCCTCCTAGGAATAGCAATCCCAGCTAAGTAAGTATTTTTCCTGTCTCCTACTCCTGGACCATTCAGCCACTTTTCTGTTTCTATTCTCCTCTGCTGTCCTGAATTGATTTCAGCAGTTTGTCTTCCTGTCCTTTTCCAGAAAGAGTGGAGTTAATTGATGAGCTAGTGAGTAATCATGTGACACTGCTTGCCCAAGTGGCTTTGTGGTCATAGAAGCTAAGGAAATGTCTTACCTTAGTTTGAAGGTCACTTTTTCAGAACTTAAAATGGATTAATTTTCCCCAAATTATACTTTGTTGAGCTATTC